AAAGAATTATAACAATTTTTCAATAAAATGAAAAATCGAACGCTTATTCTTTTCTAATGCAATAGTTTCTAGTAACTAAAGTAATACATTTCTCATACTATTTCTCTTCTCTTCACATCAGAGATGTACCAAGAGGGGGAATGACACTTCGGATATTAAAAAATTTTCGTTTTCCTTCAGTTAAGTTTCAGCATTTTATTGTTTGTTTTTATTCACTGATTCCACAATTTTGTTAACCTCTGGATATCCCTGCTTCATATTCATCTGTTATGAATATTTTCAGAGTCCCTATAGAAGTAGAAAATCTTCAATATTATTTATTTTTTTCTGTAATCTTAGATATCAGATATTCGATTAGCAAAAAAAAAAAATTAATTTACCATTGTTCAAGATGTAATTGTTCTAGAATATCATTTGAAGGTGAAAACATATTTGGTCGAACTAATGATTGCATATTTTTTGGTACTTCTTCAAATGAATTATAAATTTCTTGATTTTTTCCTGTGATACACTAACTTTTTAAGCCAGGTATATTTCGTAAACCTGGTAATTTATCATTAATATTCATAAGTGAAATTTGACCTTGAAATGTTTGTAATAATTGACTAACAACAGCTTCATTTTCAATAGGATTCATTGAACATGTTGAATAAACCATAAGACCACCGGGTGCAAGAAGTTGTATACCACGTGTTGCAATACGTAATTGTATTGATTGTAAACTAGATGCATGTCCAGGATTCCATTTTTTCCATAGATCAGGATTTTTCCGAAGTGTTCCATTACCAGAACATGGAACATCACATAGAATACGATCAAATAATATATTTCCATCCTTTCATATATGAATCGAATAGAAGAAATTAAAATATGAACCAAGAAAATAACTTACATTAGTTTTTAAATTCGGTAAATTTGATGCATCATGATTCATAATAGCAAAACATGGACTTTCTAATCGTTTAACTTGATGAACAAGTGTATAGCATCGTTTATTATCAACATCATTAGCAATAACAAAACCACCTTAATATAAATAATGATAAATAACAGTTAATTATGAAGAATATATATATTTACTTGGGATTGGATTTGATTCATCACGATGAAGACATTCAATTATTTGAGCAGTTTTCGAAGCAGGTGCTGCACACATATCTAAGATCTAAATTTAATAATAATGTATTTTATGTGTATTAAAACATTTTGTTTTTCTATTTTATACTTTATGATGAGGTTGAATATCAAGAACCAAAGGTGGAATCATCGATACAGCTTCTATAAATTATACATATATGGGTAATTTTCATTTGTTAGTGATGTAATTTCACTAGAGAAAAAAAGTTTATATATCTGGATACGGACATTTCATTTAAGTAATTTTTATGTAACAGATGTATGATAAGTTACTCTATATATCCTGAAAATCTCAGTCTTATAGATTTTGGTTTCACAAAGTTATTATTGAAAAACTAACCTTTACCGACGTGGCACAAAAAAGGTCAAAGGTTTCCATTGTATAAGTTTACAAATTTTGCCAGTTCAAACAATATTTTTGAAAACTAGATAGTGCATTTTGTTGAGAACTTCTAAGGCTACAAAATCTCTACATAAAGTTTTTCCTCAACATAGCTTTTTAAAAATATTGAGTTTATTCATTGTTAGTTACGTGAGTGAGAACGAATATAGAAACGAAAAAATCCTTTTGCAACTGAATGAGAAGTCTAAAACAACTAATTCTAAATGCTACAAATCCTTCTTGGGGATTGTAAGATGATAACAAAACAAAAAGTCTCGTTCTAGGACAAGCACAGATACCGAGTTTTTCGAGTCCGATCTTGCTTAAAACTTTACTATACATATGATTTGTGGCGTGGAATCATTCCTGAAGTTTTTGAACTTTTCCGTTATAAGCTTAGAGTGTTAGTCGCTAATTACATTTGAATTAATTAACTAATTAGTTAATCAAATTTAATTAGATGTGAACGAGCTCCTGTAAAACAAGCCATAAGCATGAACTTTTTTAACCATAGACACAGCTCACTAAGGTCTACAAGATGTACTATGTCTCGACTTGGAAGCGGTCGGGAACCTTGGAATGTTCCCTCGTGAGCTGGAGTGGTTAGAGGCCGGAGCTGCCCATCTCTGGTACTGAAAAACTAGGTTCGAGAGATCCTGAATTTTGGAAATACAGTCAGGATTTTATTTGCTTCAAATATTTATTAGAAACAAATTTCTCTAACCTTTATATACCAGTTAACATTACAAGAAAAAATTCGAAATAAAATCTGTATGATAAACTTTTGAGGCTAATAAATATGTATATAATATTTCTTTGAATAGATTCATGTATTCATGATTAATTACCTTGACGACTGATATTTCCCTAGAATGAATAATCAAATAAATAAAAATGAATTTCATAAATTAAAATAATTTACATGTTCAGTTTGTTCATAAAGAAATTCTTTAAGTTTTTGTAATTCTGGAGAACTACGTAATTGATTTCGACTAAGATTTAATTGCCATGCTAAACTACCTGGATATCTATAAGAAAAATTCTATTATAAAACTTTGAATATATAAATATTGAAATCAGACCAGACAAGTTCTTTTGGTTTATCAATTGTTGTCGATGATTCAAATGGTTGAAAATATCGTTCGCGAATTAGATGCATTATAGCAAAAGTATGCGTACGAAAACCTGTTACACGAAAAGTAACTGGTAATGGTTCTTTTAATGCTGCTAAAAATGCATCCCATTCATCATCAGGTACAAGATTCATAGCCTACATGTTGATAGATAATAAATAAGATTCAAGATATTTCAAGATTTTTTATTTTTTTCCTAACTTATAATATTTTTCAAGTATACAGTTCGCACATTGACCGTCCATGATCGTCTGCCCGAGAGTGGAGCTCAATTAGTGAAAGGTGATCAAGTGTTCATTCTATTACACAATCTTGCACGGGACACTCGATACTGGTCAATCGACCCTGAACTCTTCTATCCCGAAAGATTTCTCAATGAAGACAAGAATCATCATCCTTATGCATTCATTCCCTTTGATGGTAGTCATCGTCTGTGTATTGGGCAAGATTTAGCGCGATTTGAGCTGAAAGTAATTGCAGCACGACTGATGCAATATGTAACATTCGGTGATGGTGTTCCTCAAGTCAATGCTGGGGGACATTCGTTCGTGCTTACCATCATACCCCGACATGTCGCAGTCATCATCGAGTTCGATTGACGAAAATAAGCATTTTCTCTCATTCATTATGTATTTCTATCAGTAATTTGAGCAAGGATACAATGTGTCTTGTTTATTGACCAAAATAAAGGTTCAATGCCCAGTGATAAGTATTTTGTTCAACAAAAGGGAGAAAAGAATAGCATCGGTTTTATTTCAGAGAATTCCTTCCTGACTAATATCTAATGTCTACAGCTGCTAAAGATTTCCTGATTATGCCTGCCGCATGAGTCCCTACAATTTCTACTTTTCTATGGTTTCCAGATGTTTTAGACTTATTCGACATTCGATGCTCTCGGTTCTCATTTATCTTGCTTAATATATTCCTTCGATTTCCCTGAAAAACGTTTTGAAAACATCCGCTTGTCTGATCCTGCTTGCTATATAAGGTCCTATCAATTATCAGAGCCGCATATAATCCTCGTATCTACCTTGGTACGAAAAATTATACACTACAATATAATGAAACGAAAGTTCTATTAAACTATGGGTGATACACCCTTGGACAAAAGTTTTCCCCTCCCCGAATCTCAACCACCAAAAGGGCTAGAGGTCTGAAAATTTGTCTGCACATAATCCACCAGGAATGTAGATCAGTGGCACTACCCGCACTCTGATTGCTTCCGTGGAAACGTAGTTACGATGAATGGTGCCTATTTTTGGTGTGTGATTGTGGGTGTGGAGTGTGGATGTGGGTTCAAACATGAGAAACACACCAACAGTCCACACCCACATCATACTAACACCCACATCTCAGTAGGCGATAGCAAGATAAAATGAGAAAACAGATTTCGCGTTCGTGTAGAAAAATGATTTTTCCCGAGCGATGAAAATTGATCGCACAGAATTTTGCTTTTTTTGAAAAGAAAAGTGTACAATTAAAATAAGCTCTGTATTGTAGATTGTAGAGCTTTTCAAGCTGCATCTTGTGATATATTTTGCTTTTTTTAGAAAAACATATTAGGTGATAAAAAAAAATGAAAAAAAAGCAATTTTTCATTCGTGTAAAAAATTAATCTTTTCGCACGGTCGACATTTTGGTCACTCAAAGTTTTGTCCATTTTGAAAACGAAAACTGCAACTATAAAATATTCGGTCTTATGTAAGTTGTAGAGCTTTTCACACCGCATCTTGTGATATATCTTGTTTTTTTAATACAACGTATTAGATGACTGAAAATTGAAATGCCAAGTGCAGCCATTTAATCTGCTTCACCCGATATTTTTTCTACATATAGAAAAAGACTAATTTTTTGTAGTTCAGTCAGATGTGATACCTTTGAAGGATGCTTTTGAGGTTTGTTCGTGTAAATAAAAACTCGATGTATGCCTCTATCATTTAAAAACAATCAGTTGATAAAGTTGAATTAAATAGTAAAGATATCCGAAAAAACTTTTGGGACACACCGTATAATTAAATTGCGAACTAACTTTCTTCATGTAGTACAATCAAGAAAATATCAATCAACATAAACTGAATTACCAGCAAGAAAAACACGTTTTTTATTTGTTCACGATAGTCACAGTTTATCATAGAATTATTATTTCTTTTTCAGTAGGAAAATAAATAATTTACCATGTATTACTCGTTGAACCAGATCTGATCTGGTATAATACTTCATACACCATGCTCTTATTGAATAAAATAATAATTTGGCGCAAACAATGGCCTAGTCAGGGCATCGAAAATCTAACACTATTGATAACAATAAATTATGAAACAAGTATATCTTCATGAATATTTGTTACATCAAAATAGATCTTGAAGTTCAATATGAATAAGTGATGGAAAACGTTGAACAAGTTTTGATGCAAAATTTGAATGAAAATAATTTTTTTTTGTTATTGATTCAATCATTTTAATTTGTTTAAAAATTGGAATAAGAGATGGATTATCAATTAATTTTGATAAAACCAATAATCGACTACCAATTATAAGATTAATTACATTTGGACATGCTCTAAAATAAAATAATAAATTTCATATTCAATAAATATAAAGTAAATTTACTGTAAAATAAATTGAACATCTTTCCATCTAGATATATCGAATGTTGATCCAAATTCTATTTGAGATACATTCGATAACTGAACAAAATGTGAAAGATAAGTAACACTTTGTTCTGCAAAGACATTATCATTCATTTCACTAAATTTAACTAAAATAATATAATCGAGCACATCTATGTATGATTTACAATGATGAACAAATTACAAAAAGACATTCTTCTTACCAATATTGGATAAAGTGTTCCACAACGATGAACGTATTATTGGCATTTCTACAATCAGATATTTGACTTGTTGAAAACGAGCAGAAGACCAAGTAACAATTGGCATTTTCTTTGTGATGAATATTATTAGTTTTTCAATATCAGAATAAAAAAGATGATGATTATTTGATGCTGTTGATTGTGTTGCAAACGATCCACCATAAATAATCGGAATACCAATACATAAGCTTGCTTTGTGTTTCCGATAATTAAATGTGCGTAACATAACAAATTCTTCTACAAAAACAAATATCTTGAAGATATAAAGAAAATAATTCTTTTCTCTAATTTAAAATTACAAAAGTATACCTCATCAAAATATTCATTTGTTATCTGAATTAGATATCACTCAAACTCTACGTTTTTTGCTTAAAAATTGCATATCAACAAAACTCACTATAATGGTAAATCCTAACTATCGCTCAGCTTTATTTGACTATTTAAATCAGTTTTATTTACCTCGAGGTCGGCAATAAAATTTCCATCGATCAATAGTTATATTCCAATTAAAATATTTTTTAACAAAATATTCAAATGAATTGACAACAATATCTAAATTTAATCTTGGATACTTTTTGGCAATTGCCATATGCAATTCAAATTTAGATAAATGTGGAACATAACGTTCTAACATATCTTGCCATACATAACCATCAAGTAATTCACCAGGAAATGGCCACGCAGCTTTTCGTATCCCGAGAAGGAAATAAAAATACATTAGATTAGGCATACAACGTAAAATATAACCAATTGAACGGCTATCACATCTAGCAAGAATCTCTAAATCGAAAGATATAACGTGTGGTAATATAGGAAGATCATTTTCATTAATAGATGGCGTTGAAATTGAAACACTAAAATAGAAAAAAACTTTATTTTTAATCTTTTTTTTGTGTTAGAGATTTCTCATCTGATATATTCGTATATTTATTAGGAGAATTTACTTGATATTATTATTTTCAATTTGATCATTCTGTCTCACTATGATGCCTAAATATCGAATTGTTTGACAAAGGCGAAGAATTGATAAAATTGAATAAACAGATACTGTAGAAGGTGAACCAGATATATATAATTTAAGTGAGATCAGATTCGAAGGTATCAACATATAATTTGACATGTCCATGTAATCATAACGATAATGAAGTTCAATTGAATGAACAGATGATTTGTGCATTAACATAATTCGAGCTAAGTCAGATCTATCGATTGTACTTATATTATAATCATTTGGTGCACAAATACAAAATGAAACAAGTTTATTCAGAGTCTTAATTCGTTTAATAACATTTTCAAGTTTCGTTATCGAACTATTTGCAACCAAAACACATGATTCAAGATTAGTAAAATTGTGTCGATGAAATAATAAATCAATAATAGATGTATAATCACGAATTTTATCATAAATGTTTATCGAAATAACTTGATGAGCATGAAAAGTAAGATGAGAAGAAATAAAATCAACTTGACGACGAGAATGATCATATAAAATAAGAATACGAAGTGGAATTGATTGTAATATAGACGAAATACGTTTATTTAATGAAGTAAAACCAGTAAAAATCTCAAGTGCATGTAAATAATCAAGTATTTCGAAGAAAATTTCATTTGATAAATCTTCGAAATGGGTATATCTATCCATTTGTGCAGGTAATAAGAATAAATAATGATAAAAATTATGAGTTAGTTTAGTTGTCTGTAAAGATTGTATGAAATGGCTGAGTATGTATAGAGAATATGTTATATACTTCATCATAAACAGCCTATAAGCAATATTGACGACAATAAGAAAATGAAAAATGATGTTGACTCTTGATTCTATTGTAATATTTGAAAGAAAAGTAATAAAATATGTTTGACGATATCAATTCGTCCAATTATTTTCTATCGACATAATTTTTGTCCATATTGTAATCTTAAAGAGGAGAAGCGACAAAGAAAAAGACGACTGTATTTCTTTGGATAGAAAATTTATTCAATCAGATCGTAAATGGTAATCATGTTGCATCATCATCATATAATGAAAAAAAATGAATTGGAAAAGTCAACTAATGCTCATATTGAATGACGATTAATCACACTCTTAACTGAAAGTTATGTGATGTTTGATTCAATGAATTTCGATTTAAATAATTGAAGAAGGTTATTGCTGTTATTTAGAATTTTATATTTATAATTAAAAAACAGAAAATGATTTCCAATGATATCATTTTACGTTTGTTTTAATATTAGTTGAATTTTAGATGCCAACGACATTCAAATTTGCATCTTGAGTATTCTCAGATAAGACAAGAAATTGATTGGTTTGATTATCGAAATGCTGGTTAGACGAGTATTATTTTTAATCAAATGAGTCTATTGAATAATTAGGTGAATTATCAAGTCATCTAGTTAAAAATCATGAAAATATTCGTGAAGGTTTTGGTTTTCGTCTGACAGATTTTATTATTCGTCTTTCTAGAATTATTGCCAGTCTAATATTTTCTTTTTATGTTGGTTGGAAATTAACACTTATCTTTCTTTCAATATCACCATTAATTGTTCTTTCATTTAATCATTTAATTGAAGTAAAGAATTATTTTTTAAATAATAACGTATTTTTATTTTTATTATTTAAGGTTATTATTAAATATACAATTTTAGAGTTACTAGCATATAATACAGCTAATTATATTGCACAAGACGTTTTAGTTGCAATACGAACAGTAATAGCATTTGGTGAACAAGATAAAGAAACTGAACAGTACAAATTTAAAAGAATTTATTTTTATTGAAATTAAAAATATATAGATATCGAAAGAATTTATCTGATGGTAAACGTGTTAGTATTCAAAAAGGTTTTATATTAGAAATAACTCGAGCTATAGTTAATATTGTTCTTTATAGTGGTAGGTATTTCAATTATTTTTTGGGATGGACCATTATTAATTCGAAATGAATGTCAAAATTCTAGATCTGGTCATTGGATGGTTGTATGTGTTAATTAAATTTGAAATAATTTTTATTTAAATTTGTTAATTTTCTATTTAGATATTTGTTTCTCGTTGAACATCAATAGTTTCATTATCTCGTTTAATAGCAATTTTACAATCATTTGCTGAAGCATCTGATGGATATGTATTTGATATAAATAAGAGAGAAAAAAAAAAAAATATATTTCGAAATGATGGTGAAATTTCATCGAATTTTATTGGTGATACTGAATTTAAAAATGTTTATTTTACCTATCCATCACGAAAAGAATTATCTGTATAAAAATATTATCTTTTTATTTGAATTTTTTTCTAAATAGATTCTCAATGGTTTAAGTGTTGAAATTTCTTCAGGAAAAGCTGTAGCACTTTGTGGACCATCTGGTTATGGAAAAAGTATAACAATTCAATTGATTCAAAGGTTTTATGAGGGTGTGGGTGTGGGTGTGGGGTGTGGGTGTGGTGGGTGTGGGGTGGGGTGGCTGAGGGTGCGGGTGGGTGTGGGTGCGATGTGGGTGTGGATCAGAGATGTGCGGTCCACGGGGTTCACCCCGCGGGCCACGTGGCGACGGGCGGGCGGGGAAGAAAAATTTAATTAAACGCGAGATTAACGGGGCGCGGGTATTTTCCGGCACACGGGCGGGCGGGGCGGGTAATAATTTTTTTAAATGACACGGGTCTCGGGCGGAGCGGGTATGAAATACACGGGTTCGGGCGGGTAAACATTTTTTTTCGGGTGTGATGAAAGATCGTCAAAACTTATCACGGGATGTCCTTAGTATAGGTATGTAGTACAAAGTACATATTGATTGGTTCATTACTTTCATCCTATTATGTACAAGATTGTCTACCATTTGTTTGTTTCTTTCTTTATCGTCTGTCATACACAACTTCTACTATCAATTTATATTAAGTGAATAACTGGACTAAAACTTATTTTATATTTAGAATTATCGTTTGAATTTTTTTGTGAATTACTACTTAGGTCTGACCAAAAGTTCTGACAACATTATATAAAAATATAAAGATAAGGAGATATCTTTAATTTAATTTTATCAAATTTTGAGGACAGTTGCCATCATTATTTATACCAAGTTTGATCCTTTCCAACGATTAGTTAAAAGTTTTTTGAAGTTTTTTCGAAAAAATTTTAGGTATCATGGATACCGCATGAGCTAATCATATTTCATTTATTGTGAAAAGTTAGCAAAATCTTGTTCGATCATATCAGTTGCATTCTAGTACTGCTAGTGATGAGATATAGATTTATTTTAGATAGGTTAGTCATAAGTTATCCGATGCTGGCTGGCTTATTGAAGATGAATCGTCAAAGACTATTGTTCATGAATAAAGATTTTAGAAAATGCTTTGTTTGGTATATTTTTTAAATCAAATACTCCTGAATGTAGATAAAGGCAAGACTGTAAGTCACAAGTATTAGGCTGAACGCTCTCCAAAACATTTTATTAATCAAATATGGAAACAAACAGAGACATTAGGTTCATAATGTACAAAATTGCTTGACGGTCATCGTTGACTTCATACTCATCTAATGTTATTAATTGCATGACAGAAGAAGGCATCAATATAATATCATATCTATCATATTCGCCAGGCCTGATACTATGTAACTTTTCGCTAACTAATTCTATTAAATGTAGTTTAACTGATTAAATAAATGAAACATGATAAGTTCGTGCGATATCTAAAAATTTTTTCGAAAAAAACTTTTAACAAATTGTTGGAAAGGTTCGAACTTGGTATAAATAATCATGGCAACTGTCCTCAATATTTGATAAAATAAAATTAAAGCTGCCTACTTACCTTTATATTTTTATATAATGTTGCCAGAACTTTTGGTCAGACCTAAGTATCATCGAATTACATGATTTATCTCCTGATGAATCACTTAATAGGACAGCTTCGTCGAATACTGATCGTTCATCTACAATTATTTCTTCATCTCTCAGTCATTACTCATCGAGTAATATTAAATGTAATTCGTCAAATATAAAAATGTTTTTAAAAGAACAACCACAAAAATACGTGCTTGTCGACAATCACAAAGTGAATCATTCAAAACCATCTCATATAGACTTGAGTTTTGTTTTTGTAAAAAATGATTTTTCATAAAAGGAATGCATCGTTAAAAATAAAGTATCTGGTAAATAAAAAATTTCTTCGGGTTACACGGGGACGGGTCGGGGCCCGTCACAACAATGGCGGGTCGGGCGGGCTGATCCAAGAAGCTGCCTGTGCGGGGTACGGGCGGAGCGGGTATTGATTTGCCGGGGCACAGGCGGGGCGGGGATTCTCAAAAAGAATAACCACGGGGTTCGGACGGGACGGGTTTGTGAATTTTACGGGGCGGGCCCCGCGGGGGATGGAAAATCAATGCCCCGCACATCTCTGGTGTGGATGTGAGTCTTCTCTTCAGCGACACCCACACCCACCCTTTGATATCAAAATTCTGCTTGAAAAACAAAATTATAAGCGGAGTTTTGATCAAGATGCAATGATAAGCATATATGATGACACCTAATTCTGCTAGGAAATCAGAATTCTGACACAGTTGTGTTGTACTAAACAGAATTTGCAATAGCATTATTATGGTTCTGCTACAGTATCATAAGGATTATATTAATATGAACAGGATGTAAATGTACAGATTTACAATACCAAATTCTTACATTCTGCTTGTGAGAATTCTGCCATGCCGCGACGTCTCAGTTCCGTGTTACAAAAACCTTCAAAAACAGCCAATAGGGAACAGTAGTCCACTGAAAAATGTGTTTCTGTATTGAAAACACATTCTAATTAGAATCGCTCTAATGCTCTTTTGCAGCATAATCTGGAAAATATTCTTTACGTTCTCTCTACCGAAAAAAGTGTTTCCATGGTCGTAGGACCTAATTGATGCAGTGTACATTAGCAGTGATTACATATGAAGAGATCTTTCTAAAATAGGAACATACTCGAGAAAATCCTGTTGTATATTAATTAAAATACCTCTTCACCTTTTCACCTTCTTCTAGAAATTCAGAAATGTTTTTACCATCAAATGCTGTGTTCATAATTGAATAAAACGTATATTCAGGTATACATGTCTAAGTTTGTTCTATAAAGTATTCTTTCTGAGCCTGCGAACATAATTCGTTTCGCAAGAAAGATCTAAAGACATTTTCCGAATCATACACAAAAAAAACAACAGTGAATGTGTACTCAATTGATGCTTTTATGTAATCTGTTTCTGTGTAGACAACCATATTCAATGAAGTTAGCTTGAGACTGATAACTATGCTAGTGATACATTCGACTATAAACGAATTTCATCTATACTATTCAAATCTCAATACAGACAGTTGACTGAATAAGTTTGACAAAAAATAATTAATTTTCTTTTTTTTCAGTTATTTAGCTATTGAGAAGGTAAAATGTCGTCAATGACAGATCTTATTCTTTAGAAAAAAAGAGTGCTGTTAGACATTATATAAGATATCAGGACAAGTTGATTATATTGTTCAAAGAACGCTACTCTTACCAACAATTGCCTTCTTATTTTTCACAAAATATTACGTGTTGCTTTCTCATTGTACGAATGTGGAAGAACTAAAAAAAACTCGTTTACTAACGATTTATTAGAGAAAAATGAATTGAAACTAAGAATTGT